CACCCTGGAAGTTGCGGGTGCTCCGTGGGGTCACAGATTTGGGGAGCTGCTGAGCCTGGGGCAGAGCTCAGAGTCACTTCAGGAGCGTGCAGAGCACAGCCAGGGACACTTTGGGGGTCCCAACACCTCCTCCCTCGGCTGCTGGGGACGGGCAGCATCCCCCAGTGCTCCCCACTCACCTCCCTCAAAAGGCTGCCCCCAACCCCATCCCAAGGATAGAAAGGAAAAGGAAAAAAAAAAAAGCAAAAGATGACCCCAGAACGAAACAAAAGACACAGAACCCCTGAAATTCCAGGCGTTTCAAGGCCTCTTTGAGTTCACTGTGTTCGTTGGCTGTTTTTTTGGCATTTTAATATATATATATATATATTTATATATCTATGTATAGATATATTTCTCTATATATGTAATTGCAACAACTCCTCAGATGGACTTCCAGCAAATGCTGCTTCTCACAGGCAGCGTGTCCCATCCCATCCTCCCCTTTCCCCTTCAACCCACCTGCCACCCTCTGGAAAAGGAAGAAGAGTTCAGCACCTGGTGCCTTGGAGACTGGGTCCTGACATACCCAAATTAAACAAAAAAAAAAAAACCCCAAAATAATGACTCCTCCCTTCCCACAGCCACGGCAAATAAAAAGTCCCACCCTTGCCCTCGGAGAACATCCCCCAGTAAGTGATGAAGAGGCAGCGCCACTGTCCTTTCTCCTGACCTTGGAGAAGCTCCAGGAAGCCCTCCTTGACCCTGGGTGGGCAATTCCTGCTACACCAGCCACCCGCCACGTCCCTCCATCCCAGAGACAACCTCCGGCCACCCACCAGCCTGAGGACCTCCCTGCTGCCACGCCAAACCTCCGCCAGCCCTCCGGCCAGGCCGTAGCGCCCACCCCAAGGTCCACCTCGCTCTGGAGAAGCCGGGTAACTGCTATTGATTTAAAAACGAGTTGACATTGTACAAGTCCGTGTTCTGTAAAATGGAACAGGACCCTCTCGTCCCACCCCGACGCCGCCGGGCCTGGCGCTACTCGGGCCCGCTGCTGTTGGTGGCCTTGTCCCACTCCAGGCTCTCCTCGCTGCGCGCCGGTGACCCCGCGGCCGGCCGCGCCCGGAGCCCCTGGAAGCGCCGGCACTCGGGGCACACGCGGATGTGGGTGCAGCCCCGGGCGACCAGGGCGGCCTCTTGTGCCAGTCTTTGTGCCAGGGGGTCTGGCTCGCCCCCGCTGCACAGCTTGCCGTTGCTGAGCGTGGTCGTGCTGCGGGCTCGGCGCTCCTCGGGCGCAGCGGGGCGAGTCCGTACCACCCCCCCTCGCCTCCGACGGGGGTGGAAACTGTCCTTGCACAGGATGATGTTGCGCAGCTCCGTCACCATCTCTTGGCACACCGACACCTGCGGGGGAGAGTGGAGCCGTGCTGCTCACCTGAGCGAGCTCTGAGTCCCTCAGGGGCTCTGGGTGCTGCGGTGATGAGGGCTTGGAGTGACCTGGCATAGTGGAGATGTCCCTGACCATGGCAGGGGCTGGAACTGAATGAGCTTTAAGGTCTCTTCCAACCCAGGCTGTTTTAAGATTCTGTGATGTGATTCTGACCCCAAATTTTTATGGACTCAGTGCTGCTGGTTTTCACCATCAACGCTCAGACACCTACATTTGATTTAACCCAACTCTGCCTCTCATCAGAGACCCCCTGGTGTTCTTCATCCCCAGATCAGCACAAGATCCAAAGCTGCTGCAGGAAGAAATCCTGTCCCCAGGAAAGGTACCTGGATGTTGTGCACATCTTTGATCCCTTTGAAAGCCCTCGGAGGATCTCTACAGCCTCACTCTAAGTAGGAGTGCACGAGAAGATCATGGATTTTAGACCAAAGGCCTGTTTGTGGGTTTGAGGTGTCCTGGCTGGGACTGCTCCTCAGCCTGGGTGCATGACTTGCTGTAGGACACCCCACAGACAGCAATAAACACACCCTGTCCCCTCAGGACACTCCCAGGTCCTACCTCCGACTGTTCAGAGTGCCGAAGGCTCCACAAAAATTCCAGCATTGCCATAAAAATTGCTACGATTAAGCCACAGATGAGCACCACGAAGATTCCACCAATGTTCTCCATCCCCAAGCCTAAAATAAAGCAGGAGAGACACTCTGGAGAGACAGACACATCATAAATCTCAAGTGTCACTGCACAGAACCCCCAGGCTTTGCTGTTTTGTTGGCATTGTAGACGCCCAGCCAGGGACCAAAACCACCGAGCAGGCAGCATCCTATTAATAGCTCCCTGCATGACTCAGATGGCCCAAGTGAGTGACTTGCAATAACTGCAGGATCGAAGATGCCTGCTCAGAAATGATGATTTTGCAGATAAACAGCCAGAACGTTCGAGGGGAAGCACAAAGCAATTTGTGGACAAACTGAAAACAGGAGGGGAAAAAGGCAGGATCAAAGGGGCACATTAATCCCTGCAAATTATTCACCGAGCTCCAGTGGCTTTGAACTTGAAAAGGAAGAGGAGCAAGGTTGTTAAAGGAGCAGAGATGAAGGAGACAGGGAGGGCTTTAAAGGAAGCTGGCACCAGGAAAAGCTCCTTTGATTGCATCACAAAGTGCTGCAGGAAAACGATTCCGGCTGCTCGGACTGCAGTGGGGAAGGAGAGGCTCGGAAGGAGAGCAGGATGCTGTGTTACTGCAGGGTGACAAAATGGGGTCCCTGCCACCCTGGGCTACCTGGCTGTGGGTTGGGTGTCCCTGCCCAGCCCACCTGGCCCATGAGGAGGGAAGAGCCCCTTCCATGGACAGCTCATCCCACCTCCCCCGCACAACTCACTTCCTGTAGGATGCCCACCATGCTTAACCAGCCTGCATGCCAGAAAGTTCCAGCAGCTGAAGGAAAATCCATCCCTTAAAAACCCGAGCTTTCCGTGTGCTGAGGCCATCACTGCACTTGCACCACAGTCCTGGTCCCCAAAACTGTGCCTCCATCTGCCTGTGAGATGAGCTGACCTCAACATTTGCTCTTCTGGGATATGGTTCCTCTCTCCTGTGTTTGCTTTGGGTCCCTGATTGGACTGATTACTAAAAAACATGTGCTCTGCCCTGGGTTGGCTGTGTGAGGCCATTACTCAACAACAACATCTATAAAAATCTTCCTCTCCCTCCTGTAGCATTAAATCAAAGTGTAAGAATAGATTATTTATTGACTTGATCTCGGCCTGGCTTTTAGACATAAAACCTCACCAAAACCCTTGTAAATCGCTGACCTGTTTTGTTCTAAAACTTAGCAGGTCACATTTCTGCCTCCTCCTCCGTCATTCTTTTGGCACCACCCCCAGAGCAATGCAGGGAGTTTGTAAATCAGAGACATTTGCAGAGGCGCTTCCACAGCAATGGCAAGGCAGATAAAACAGCCCAAAATCACAACTCAGACCCAAAGGTAAAGGTCATCCACTCCCCTCCGCAGCTCACAAGTGTGAATTTCGGGTTTGTACCTCTCTCTACATCCTCCTATCATTCTGTCCGGGTGCCACCTCAGACACCCAAGCTCACTGAGGGATATTTCCTTTCCCCATACAGCTACAGCCTTCCTCATCTCCCAAACTGAGCAAGTGAGCCATGGCACAGGGAAACAAACCAGCAGAAAAACTTGCCCAGGGTCACAGATTGTGCTGGGCAGTGCCAGAAACAGCCCAGCTTCCCCCTTCCAAAGCCATCTCAAAACAGCCCCCAGCCTAGATGCCACCTTAGAGCTGCCTTTGGCACAGTCCAGGGAGAAAAAAATACCTTCCACCTTCAAAAGTAACTCATTTAATAGCAATAACCCGGTGTCTTACACCTTCAGCCTGAAGATAAATAATTGGGGTTGTCTGTAGAACAACACTGTCCAAAAGTTAGCATCAGCCCTGTGGAGTCCCAGCAGGAACTGCACAGACACACATCTACACCTGCTGCAAGGTCAAAACCCCAAAAGAGCTTCCCCAGCCCTGGCTTGGCTCTTCCCTCTGCTCCCCCAAAGGTCACAGGGCTGTGCTTTTAACTGGGGGGCCTGCTGGCCTCGCAGAAAACACTTGCTGAGCAAAGGGCGGCTGCCAAAACTCAAAAATGCAGCAACTGTGTTAAGCTGGCAACTGCTCTCATGCTGGGACATCAGCCTAATGTGGTGGCTTTTATGGCAATTTGCATAGCATTACCCAAAAGAATTTGCTCCTCAGTTTACAAATGTACTAATAAAGTCCTTGTGTCCCTTCCCCTGGCTGTTTAAAAGACGCTTTCACTTGGAGCCATTAACCAGCGGGCCTGTGGTGGAGATCCATCTCCCTTCAAGGAACTCAGGATTTTGGTCTGATCCCTTCAGCCATCCATTTTCCCAGACATTCATTAGAAGCTAATTTACCCTCCATATGCCTCCAATATTTGTCATTTGGTTGTTCCCGCTACCTCTGCCCCAGGCAAAAACACACAGCGTGAGGTACGGCGGAGCTGTTTGGCTTTCTCCTTGAGTTGTGGAGGAAGGAATCTCAGGTCAGGAGAAGGGGAAAAAGTGATTCCCAGGCAGAAACGCAGCTGGGCGTTCATCCTTGCACCTCGGGCCAGGATGTTTCCGTGCCTGGTCCCTTGGGAGTGCAGGGTTTACCTTTGGCTCTGTGGTCCTCCTCTTTGGGACACTTCCCTCCTTCCCACCACTTGCGTTTCAGGATTTCCAGGCGGTTGTTCTCCTGCAGCTGGAGGATGGCCAGGTCGAACTCGTCGCGGAACACGGAGCCTGCAACGCCGAGAGGGACGTGGTAGGGCCCCACCTTCCTCCCCATCATCATCCTCGCCACTCGCCCCACCCCAGCGTGCCCAGCTAGCACAGCTCCTCTCCGGGTGGCTTGGAGGGGCTGTCAGTCCATGCAAGCCATGGAAAGCTGCAGCACCCCACCGGGAATGCCACCTGGTTCATGTCACTTGCAGAAGGTGACTTTACCTGGCCACCAGGAGCCACTCAGGCCACTGGAGCAGGTCCATGGCAAGGGGAACTTTGGCTTTTGAATGAGCAGTTCACTATCCTGCTCCTGCAGGGTCTCTCTCTTGTCATTCCACCTCCAATTCAACCTTGTTCTAATGCTCCTTCCCTCAAACTGGTCACGGAATAGAAACCCTGAGCTGGAAGGAGCCCAAGGATCATGGAAGCCAAAATGTCCATGTTGGAGGAGCTCAGTCCTGTGCTGGGCATGGAGCTCTGCTGCAGTCCCAGTGTCTGCTACCAGAGATCCTTGTCTGCCACCAGAGATCCTTGTCTGGTACAAGAAATCCTTGTCTGCCACCCTAAGAAGGGCCATGGGAAAGACTGCACTTCTCCCAGTAACTCTGCACTATTGTCCCAGCCAGCAGCTTTCTGCTCCTCTTATCTGCTACGGTTTCACTGTTTAACAAGACAATGTCAGAACAAATTTAGCCCTGAAGGTAGGGATTTGTACTCACTTTGATCAGGTTGCTGTGACTTTACAAGCTTACCCGTGTTCCCTAAACTAGAGTGGCTGTTTGTGCGATGGGGGCCTTATGTAATCCACCTTAACTTTGTGTTGCTAAATGCCAGGGCTTAAAGGTCAGGACAAGGCTTCCAGGCTGTCCAAAAGACCAGTGGATTGTTTGGAATAACAACTAAACTCTTATTTAGTGGCAATGTTCTCTTGTGAGCTCATACATTTGAAAGACAAAACCCCTGCGTTTGTTAAACCTGTTGAGAGCCTCTGAATCACCAAGTCTCCGGCCTGCAGTTTCAAGAACCACCAGCTGTTAAGACATTCCTGCTAAAATCTACCAGAATTGCCACAGCATTACTTTGACATCACTTCGGGGATTAAAACAAGGAGCACAAAACGATGGCACAAACACTGGTTGGGGAAGGGAACAGCAAAGAGCAAGTATGCAGAAAACAAGCAGCAATTTTGAGACATCTTTCACATGAATTATTGAAAGAGCCGCGGTCGCGTCTCACATGGCTCTGGACCAGAGCAGGGTCTCACATCTGGCTCTGGACCAGAGCAGGGTCTCACATCTGGCTCTGGACCAGAGCAGGGTCTCACATCTGGCTCTGGACCAGAGCAGGGTCTCACATCTGGTTCTGAGCATGGGCAGCAGGTAAGGAGTAAAAAGGACCCTGTGAGATGCAACGTTGGCTTTTAGAGCCGGCGCAGCCTTTGGAACGCTCCGGTCCTCTGCCGACAGCCGAGAAGGACTAGAATTGTTCTTCACTGCCTACCGACGGGCATGCCAATCCCGTAGCCCTTGGTGTCCAGAAGGCCCCCGACCTGCGTGAGGTTGCAATTGCGCTGCCGATAATACTCGTTCATGGTGGACTCCAGCAGGAAGGCGTAGTTGGAGTTCAGCACGCGCGCGATCCCTTCCTCCGTGCTCTTCACGAAGACGCTGGGCTGCTTGGAGTACATGTAATTCCACATCCGCTGGTACGTCTGGTAGCGGGAGTTCTGCGGGAGGAAAGAGGCAGCCACAGCTCAGGGAGGAGATTTGGGGGTAAATTAGACCCCTAAAATCGAGCCCCCCGCATCAGGCACTGCTGCGGAAAGGCCACAGTGGAGAGAGGAATCAAAATCTGATTTCAGATTCAGAAAGGATTTTGGTGCCTCATCTTTGTTTATCTCAAAGAGGCCCAAATGTGTTGGGAGTTTGTGGGAAAAGCTGGGCATGAAATGTCCAATTCCAACAGAGTCTGTCAAAACAAAGTAAATTCAATTTTAGAAAAAGAAATCAAGAACACACACAAAAAAAAGCCTGAAGAAACAGCTCCTGCTTGGTTAATCAAAACCTCTGGGTGCTCCCTGTCGAGCTCACACAGTACTGACCATCCCTCACTGTCCCAACAGTTCTTCAGTCCTCCAGCACCCTGAGGAGGGCACTGAGGGCTGGGGCCAGCACAAAAGCTCTCTGGAGATTGTTGCTCACAAATGTAATTCAAAAAATAATCCAGATTTGATTCACCCCTCTATGAGGCAAGTTAAAGTGCTTGCTGAAAAGAACTGGGTTTTTTTGTCACTGATTACAAGAAGCCAAAGCTCAGCCAGCCCCAAATCCTCAGAGCTGGCTGGTGGCTGGACCACCTTGGTCTGATGAAAAGAAAGCTGAGAATGAGGAATCTCTCTTGCCTGTGCTGAGCAGAGAGTGAAACCTGGTCACACAAAGACTGAATATAAACACCCCCTGCTCTGCATGAGGATTTTCATACTGTCAAGGGCTTGTTTTCTGTGTCTGGTGAGCAGTGCTGGAGAGCCTCAGGGAATCTGCTGCTGACCCAGTTCCTGTCCTCGTCTGTGCAGCTCTGTCCTCTGGGTGCAGCCACATGGACAGGAGACAGATGAGCAGAGGGGTTTGGTTCTGTTTCACTGCATTTTTAAACCTTAAACTGTGTGTCAGTGTCAGGAGAAGCACTGCCAGGACAAGGTGCCTCAGGAGGGGACAAGCATTCCTTCGTGCACCCAGGAAGGGAGGGGAGATGGAGGCAGTTATCCATCACTACTTTAACCTCCCCGTCCTTACACCAGAGGCAAATGGATCCCAACACGGTTTAAAGCACCACAAATAGGACAAAACTGTCTTTTCCTAATTTCCTCTCTGATTTCCTCACTGCCAGCCAGTGCAGAGACACAGCCAGGGGTTTAAACTTGAAAGCTTTCCTCAAGTGAGCCCCTTCTATGCAACCACTTCCTTACTTAGGCTCTGCTCAGCTCATTTTAGATGTAAAGTTTGGCTTAAAAGTAGCTCTTTTCCATACCCCCAAAGAGCACAAAGTTGAGCTGAAAAGCTCAGGCTGACTCCAGAGATTTCCCAGCCTTCCAAATTCAGTTCGGACTCACAGTGGGGGGAAAGTGAGAACAAGCTTTCTCTCCTTTTGGAATTTCAACAAGTAATAAATAAATAAATAATCCTCAAGCAGTCTTTGTGCGTTCAGAGCGCTGCAGAAAAGATTCACTCATTCATTTCCCTTCTGAGCAGAGCAGGGAAGATGAAAATTAAATTGGGTTAAATGGCCCACATAACTTTGCATACACTTGACTTATTTCAGTGCCACTGACCTCACACAGGCTCCAGCACTTTGGCTTCTGCGAGCCTGCCTGGCTGGTGCAAATGTCTCTTTGCTTATCACACCTGAAAGACCCTCAAATAAAAGCTAAAACCATGTGGAGACCCGTGAAAATTTGACTTCCTTGTCAAATTCCCTTTCTGTGTCCTCCACCATGCCTCTCCCACCACTGATCCTGTGCAAGGATCTCTCCAGAGGTTCCCCTTTGTGCCAGCAACTGGAGCGACACACAAGCTGAGGGGGACACCCCGATCTGATTGAGGGGTGCCCTGTGCACCCCACGCCCCCCAGGCAGCCAGAGAATGGGGTTTACTTGGAAGAAGGTCATGCTGGAGCCGCCGTGGATGGTGCCGTACTCGATGGTTGTCTGGTCAGCAAGGTCATCCACGGACTCGATGGGGACGTCCATCCTCTGCACGGTCAGGAACGCTGCCAGGTTGGCCGTGTAGGAGGAGATGATGATCAAGGTGAATGCCCACCTAGGAGGAGGGAAGAGACGGTGTGGCTTCCCTCAGGAAACCTGCTCTCCATCCCCACCCTTTGCCTCTCAGAATGCCAGAATCGCTGAGATGGCAAACTCCCTCCAAAACCATCAATCCCCACCTTGTCACCCAGACAAGTGAGTGCCACACCCACTCATCCCTGAACATCTCCACCTGGGCAGCCCCTCCCGATGTCCCACTGTGGGAATCCAGGGCTTCCCTCTGGCTGCCCTGGCAGGTCTGGGACCCTGGCAGGGGTCAGGAACCCCCCTGGACAGAGCCCCCAGAGACACTGTCTGTGATCTCTGGCCATGGAGAGGAGTTTTCAATCTTACAGGATGAATTACAAGCTTTGAGTGTTTGATAAGAATAATAATTAAGTGTGACACAGGTGCAAGAGTAAAATTTTAGGATTCTAGATGAGGGGTCCAAAGGGGACAAGATGGAGGAAATTGGGTGTGCCTTGTCCTTTTTCTCCTTCTTCATGCCCTCCATGTTTCACTGTGGTGTTGGCATTTTTCTGTTGGTTCAGGCTGGGGACACACTGTCCAACGTAGGTGACAGATATTGGCACGTTATTGTAAATCCAGCACAGGTAGTTTCTGGTATTTAATGTTTGTACCATCCCACTGAGGGCAGAGCCCCACACGCTGCCCTGCAGGACAGAGCTGCGGCAGGGCAGCAGAACATGTTAGAGATAAACAGAATAAACAACCTTGAAACAGCACAGACCAATTATGGCTTCTGCTTTGGCAGCAGGGCAGAAAGACAGAGACTTTCTATAATCTCAGAATCACCAATACCCACAGATTCCGACATCCCACAACCCTTTCCATGAAGAAGTTCCCTCTCCACATCCCCCTCTGCCCAGAGAAACCTTCCTGGCAGGAAGGGCTGCCCTCCTTACCAGACCCCGCTGACGCAGCGCGTGGACAGAGCCTGGGGGGCGATGGTGGAGCCCTGCTGCATGAACCCCCCCACCGGGAACCACAGCGAGTTCCCCAGCGAGTACTGGTTCACCAGGAGGTTGCATCGACCTTGGGAGCAGGGGTGGGGGCTGTACCACTCGTACGGTGTCAGCCTGAAAGGACAAGAAAATAGGAACTCAGGGAATGCGCTGGGAAATGGGACACTTAAAAAAAAAATAAAAAAGAGAGAAAAGCTGTGAAGCTGCAGCTCTCCTGGAGGCAGAGTTTTCTGAGGAGGAAATGCTTTGCTGTCGGTTGATGCCCAGGGCTCAGAGCTGTGTGAAACGTTTGCTCTGAGACTCAGGAGCCAGAGGCTTTCTTGTAAAGATTTGCAAAAACTTTGAGAGGCTCTGCTCTGGGCAGCTCTGCGTGCGTCCTGCAGCCCTGTGTGCAGATTCCCACCACAGCAGGAACTCCAGATGTGCACGGACTTGATGGGAAGCAGAAATCAAACGTCTTTGGCTGCGCTCCCTGCCGGAGCACGAGCACTGATGGAAGTTCAAAAACGAAGTGTGTGAGCCCTGACTGCATTAAACCATCAAGAAAAACTCTTGTTGGTGCAAAGGGTTGTTCTGATAAGGTCTGAGGTGGAGTTGGAAGCTCAGTGCTGGTGTTTCAAACCCTTCAGGGACAGGACAGAGGTGGGAATGGGAAATATCTAAGCCTGTCACTGTTGTGGCTGCACCTCTCTCTCTCTCTTTTGCTGCTTCCAGTCCCCAGTTCCCTGGTTGCTAAGAAAGTCTGCTAATTCACGTGCTGCACTTCATCATTCTGCTCTGGGAGGGTCATTTTGGGGCTATTGCCAAAACAGCTGCAGGGCTGTGTCAGCTCACATTTAGCCAGAATGAGGGGGCTCTTTTCATCCCTGCATCTCCTCTCTCACAGTGGGGCCAGGGAGGAGGAGGAGGAGGTTATTTCCTGCAGGCCTTCCATGGCAGATCAAGCACTGGCAGCAAACCCCAGTGCTCTGGGAGAGTCTGCAACTCACAGGGTCAAAAGCTCCTTCCTGCTGAGCGAGGCAGGGAGCAGCAGCCAAAGCTCCCTCTCCTGAGGGAGGGCACCTTTCTGGAGGATCATATTTAAAACATGAGGAAGGGGCTAAAGAGGCACCAGCTGTGCGTAATTCAATGGTTTCTCCATCCCTGCATTTCTGAGGCTGCAGCAGATTTGAGGAACCCATGAAAGCCCTGCCAGGATGATGACTTCAGCCATGCTGAGGGACACAGGACACAGGGACAGCTCCACTCTGCCTGGAACAGCCTCCCCAGGGGTGTGGGCAGGGCAGGGAGGGCAGCACTGGAGCCCAGAGCCTGGGCCACCATGGGGCCGTGCACCCAACGGGGCATTTTGAGGCTGATTGGAATTAATCGTAGGGGAATGGAGCTGAGAGCTGCCAAGAGAGGCTCTGCACATCAGCTGCTCCAAGATGCTCATGAACTTTTCCCTCCTGCACAAACTAGGGAGCCAGACATCACTGGTGGAATTCCTGTTGACGCCTCGGAATGGATTTGGAGGTTCCTAACAGCCTCCAACCTCCCTGTTCGGGACAAAGGGGTAAAAAAACATCTGCAGGGAGGTTTTAACAGCACCAAAAATGGGAAGGATGGTTTCTCCAAAACCTTCTCCCCCCACCTCAGGGCACCACTGTGACCAAACACATGCTGAACCAGGGCACGATGGCCATCCCAGCGTGGGGACATGGTGACAA